TTTATTTTGAAAATACAATATTTTAGACATACAATGTAGTGATTTTTTTCTGCGAAAGCACACGATTTGTAAAAATTTGCGATACAGCATAGAACGAAAGAAGAAAGAAGGTGAAGAGTGCGAGAAAGATGCGATAGAATCCAAGGGGGTGAGCCGCGGGGGTGGTAAAGTCGTGACAGGGGGTGAAGGGAGGGGGCGATAATTTGTTAGCGTGCGCGCACCCCCAAATGCGCGAAATCCTGTCGAAGTGCGGCTCGTGCGGCGCATTGTTTCCTTGTTTGCCAGGTGTTTCGAGCACCGCGGCCGAGTGGAGGCCGCGCCATTGTTGCGAGAGAAGTCGTGCAGCCGCTCTCTTTCGACAAAGCCGGCGATCCTAATGCTCTTTTATTGTGCATTGTGCGCGGCCGAAATCAAGAAACAGGGTGGCGTATACACACAAGGCCGAGGGACGTGCCACACCGATTGTGCGGTTTGAGCATGTCGATGATGACGCTACCCTGGCGCTTATTTGTCACTTTGCTCTTGTTAAACGCGAGGATGAACTTTGTTGAAGTATTTTGTAAGAATAGAACGCATTATACACGGAATTTGCGAGATATGGACTGGGAATTATTGCGATTTCTGTTTTTATATATTTTTATTAGCTAAAAGTTCAAGAGTGATAAGTCAATGATGACAGGATACAGAATTAGCACATAATTGAGGGAATGGGCGGAATAAAGACCTAATTACAGAATCTTGATATAATATTAATAAAAATTAATATAACTTGCTACTTTTTTATTATACACGAATGGGTGCAATATCAAATGAATTTATGTAATATCTTTAAGAAGTTATATGTTACAATACTTCTCTATTACGATCAATATTACATGAAAAAGCTAATTGCTGGAAAAAGGGCCTAAGTAGAATTGTGCCTTTATTCCGCCCATTCCCCTCAATTGTATACACGAAAAGATTTTAGATAATTCTTTGGTTATGTTCTATTATTGGTTATCTCAAAGACTTACTTCAATTGAATTTATTTGTTAATAAAAAAATTATTTATATTTTAATCATTGAAATATATTACTTAGCGTGATATTATCATTTAGTTGATTGATCGATTAGTATTTTATATTAGCTATCCTTTACTTAAACATTGTTAAATGTTAATTTAAATTTCATTAACAGCGTTACAGAAAATCATTGTTTTGGTTGAGATTTTTTTCCAATAAAAACATAGAATTGCAAAATTAAAAGAGAATACAATTTTATCAGTAAAAATTGAAATTACAATTGTATACTTACATGGTTTTATCTTGTTCATCTGCAGCTCTCGATATATTAAGTAAAAATTTTACAAAATAATATGCAATTATATATTACAATAAAAGCTTATCTTTGCTAAACATTTGAATAAAAATGAAAAAAAATGCTCAATTTTTTTCATGAAAATAATCATCATGCACATCGATTTTATTTCTTTATTGTTCAAAAAGAGTTATTTTTTGAAAATTGAATCTTTTTCTATATTTTTTTTAGATAAAATTATTGTCTCTATTTGTTTCGTAATTTAATGTCGCGAAATTAGTACAGTTTTAAGATCGCAAAGTAACAATTCTTTTATTTCTAAATTTCAAAGCAAAAAAAAATGTTTGAAGATATAATTTTTTTCAAAGAGCAATTTCCAACAAGAAAGTTTTTGATTGTACAGTGAATGTTGAAATCTTTAATATAAAATTTTTCGTTATAATTATAT